GTAATGGGATTACATGTATGTATCGCCATGCATAACAGACAGACAGACAGATAGACAGATATGTGCATGCATGTGTATACACACACACACACACACACACACACACACACACACAGAATGGGGGAGGAAGAGAGAGGGAGATCATATTTTTCCTGCTCCTAAAACTGATATCACTTTTCTCTTAATTCTTGATCACCCTTGGCCCTTCCAGCCCCACACCCATTACCCACCTACCTCTCCCAAAGGTCTAGGATGGGCCCCAGAGTCGAGAAACTCTGCCACCTGGGAAGATGATAAACCCAGTGATCAGAAAAAGCTAAGTGTCAATGGAAGCACAGTATGACCAATCCCCATTCCTAAAAAGAGAGTTTGCTCCAAGTAGCACAACTGGAGTTGGAGGGACATCAGTGTTATCCTATTCTTGTGTCCCCAGTGACATCTCCGTACAGACCTTTTTGGCTTCATGCACCCACAACACCCTCTGACATTTGTCCTGCCCACTGCTTTCACAGGTCAAATGTCGCCATCTGCTCTACTGGAGGCCACATTCTTAACTTTGGCTGACAGGTTATTCTTACCGAATGTAGCCTGTTCATTCTCCTGTCTGATGCTGTTTCTGCTCCCAGCTCTTAAGCTCAGCATTCACCACCAACTACAGCTTGAGGTATTTAACTACCAGATGCACCATTTATTTCCCCGTCTAATCTCTTGGCTACCATGTTCACGGGTGCACCCCAGGACCTTCATCGTCTCTGGTTCTGTCTCCCAGGATATAATCCCAGGCAGCTCCACACTCCTTTAAAGGACACCTCCTTTCTAAGAGTTACCACATACCCATGGGCCACTGACCTCCAGGCAGGGAATTCAGAGAACTTATAGAGACATCTAGGAAGACGTTTCTGGTAAGTCATGTGTGAGGAAACACTCCATGGTCACATCTCATTTGTGCCAGTCATGAAACATCTAACACATCAATGGTGACCTTAGAATGTCACTTAAAATGGACCACCACTTTTGTGTATGAACACATTGATGCAATAGAGTCTCAGGAGCCATACTTGGCCTGGGAATCCCTAACGTGTGGCTTGTGTCTGTCTGAAACCCTCAAACTTGTGGAATATGAATTAACTTTAACGGACTAATGCCAGAAGTGTGGCGCACCAGAACAAAGTGTCTACTGCATGCCAGTCATTCACCTAGGAATTGTGTTTGTTATTAACTGAGCACAATGCCCTGCCTGCAGCCTCCTAGAGTGAATGGTAAGGGACAACAAACATTAAGAATTCAGTATAAACATGATCAAAATATATTTTATGAAAAAAGTTTAATATAAAAAAGAAATATAAACAAGCGTATATTAAAAAGTCCAGTGTAAGGATCTCAGCATGAAGTTTCAATTTTAAGCAAATCTGGACCTCTGACTGAGCTTCAAATTCCCTTCAGCTCTGCTCTTTCAAGCCATGTTTGTCACTGACATTTCCGTGGAAGTGGCCAAAATGAGACTGTCACTTGAAAGTAATTCCCTGCCCACAAAGCAGGGCTAAAAACGTTGCACGGACTGCCTCTCTTTGAGTCTGTTGTCAGATACCAGAGTTATTCTGGGAAGAGAAGCCCGAGGCACAGCCCAGGAGAAATACTCCAGGGTCTCTTGTTGGCTAGGCAGAGCAGTGAACACCGGAAACCAACAGCCAGGCACGCGGCGCTGCCTGCAAAGCCTTCTCTCCATCTCATCGCATGCTACCGCAAGGAGCAATGATTAGAAAGTTTTAGGAAATGTCCTCGTGGACCAGATCCAATCTTCACTCTCTCATTAACATCGTGCACACAGGACAACTTCAAAGCAGTGTCTCGAGCTATCCAACAGCAAGTTTTCAGCACCGGAAAAGTTTACCATGACAATGAAAAGCCAGTCTAAGTACTATATGTATGGCGCCAGGCAGAAGACCACTGTTTCATGTCTGCTACATGAACTCCAGTGATGGGCTTCACAGAAACACCAACAGGTTGGGTTCTGAAGACTGCTGTTTAGCGTGCTCAAACCCTCAAAGCAGGTTTCATGGTTTCTTAATTGGCTTTATAATATTAGAGAGACCTAAACTCCATTTGAACACAATGCCCTACAGGATGTGGCCTCTGGCTTCCTTCTCTCCCTGTAGATCTTCTCATTCTCACATACTTATTCACTCATTCTCGTATCCATTCTTTCTCTCTCCTTCATTCCCATCTCTCTTTCTCCCCCTCTCTTCCTTTCTGCATCTCTCCCTCTCTCCCTCCCTCCCCGGCTCCCTTCTCCCCCCTCATGTCTCTACCTTTCCTCCCCACTCTCCCCCATCCGTCTCCTTCACCCTCTCTCTCCATGCTAATGTGAAAACGAGGAGGGACAGGCCACATGGATCTAAGGGCCTGCGAACTCTGTTCCCTGTTCCTGTGGAGATCAGACAAGTGAACTCTAAACCAAGATAAGCATTTCGAAGTTTCAGAATGAAGGCAGACTTCAGATCCGGAGTCATTATTCTACTGACAAGATCACCTGCACTTCCAGGCTTCCAAAAATATCAATAATGCACTGAAAACTGAGATGCCAAGCAAAGGCATGTGGGGAGTGAAGTTTCCTCAAAGGTGACACTGAGTTCCTATTTTAAAGACTACCAAGAAAACAAATAGATCATATTTTGTTGTGATATGCACATTTCATTGTGATTTGAAAATGTATTGAAATGTTCAGAAAAGGCCAAACAATGGCCATGTCATAGGGAAGAGATTCCCAAGAATTTAGCAGTGAAAACATCTCTCAGGTCTTGCAGTAAGAGGCCCCTACGCATAAGTCCATTATGTCTTCCTCGAATTGCAGAAATATCACGTTGGAAACAAGTGCTAGGGATTATCCAAGCTGCTCTCATCTTGATATTGCTCACTCAAGGTAACTGTGTCCTGCATGCTTTCTGGGGAATGGCCCTGAAACGGTCTCCAGGGAAGTTCAGGACCAAAGGTCTGTTAGCTGACTTCTCTGCAGTCCTGGATCCTCACTTGCATGCCCAGCACCTACTCCTCTCCTCGTATTTATCAAGGCATGACACTGGGGGACAGCAGGCAGTGGCCCTCTCGGGAAACCTCCTCTCTCCCCACAGGAGGACACTGAGTCCTAGACAGGGGAAGGACACATTTTCTGCTCTAGCTTATGCCATAGTCAAGAGGATGCTCAATTTCCCAGCATGCGTGATGTTTAGCCTTGTATTGTCAGAGCCATGGATGGGATGGATTAGAAAGGACTCTTTTATGAATGTCTGTATATATATACACAAATGTATATACATATAACAAAAATTGAAGAAGTAGTCATGAATTGGGAGCTACTAGAGGATCCTGAGGGGACAAAGGAGGGGTGAGAATGATATAGACAAAGTTCTCAAAAGTTTCATTTAACAACAAAAAGGAAAAGAAGGAAGGAAGGGAGGGAGGGACAGAAGGAGGGAGGGAGGAAAGAAGGAAAGAAGGGAGGGAGAGGGAGGAAAAGAGGAAGGAAGAAAGAAAGGAAGGAAGAAAGGAAGGAGAGAAGGAAGGAAGGAAGGAAGGAAGGAAGGAAGGAAGGAAGGAAGGAAGGAAGGAAGAAGACCCCTCAGGCTCTTCCAAGCATGGCTCTCCTGCCTCTCAGCTGCTCTAGGGAAATGTCTTAGCTGAGGTGCCAGCATATCTCCGGAGCCTTAAAAACTAAACCCCAAGGATATGGAGAGATCAAGGCATGGAGAATAGGAACAAGGGATCTAGGCTATCTAAGGGGTCAGAGACCTCAGAAGATATCTTCAAATTTATGCTCTTTTTGGAGCATGTAAAATATGGAGCACAAATCATTTGTCTTTTCCCAAGATGCATTGTGACGCACGCAGCATGCAGCCATCCGGGAGAGTTTTATCCTCAACTTCTAACATTCTTTACAATCTTATTTTCTCAAATTTTTTCGTTTCAGAACAAATGCGGCAAGTCCAGTTTAGAAGACAGTATTTTTGAGCACAGAGGTTCTGACCGTGGGTGGGAACTACGCACAGAAGAACCGGGAGAGCGCCGGCTGACAGAGAGTGCTGGTAATGGATGTGATCAATTCTGAAACCTTTCTGACTTCGTCTTGTCAGTTATAGATGGCAGTGATTGTCTTCCATCTAACCTTCATGTTCCAAACCCCATCCTGGCACAGCAATCAAAAGCTTCACTCTCTATCACCCACAGAATATGAGCCCCTTCATGATCAAGCAGTACTTGAAAGCTTGAGGTTTACACAGGTCTAGCTCAATTCAGTTGGCTGGCTAGGAAATAACAACTTTAAAAGACAGTTCTATTAAAAAAAAAGTAATGCATATATAGAAAAACCAGAATCCAATTTTATATTTTAGCTATTTATTAGTAAATCACTAAATTTACCAACAAACATTGTAATGACTTGTCAACTTTAATTCATTACTAAACTTATCAATAAACATGAAATATTGTAGTAGAAGGAGTGGGCTGCCCGGCTAACTTAACCCCTGAAATAACCACATGGAAATTGTATTAATTAAACTGAATATAGTTTTTGTGTGGTTATTCTGGGGACTAAGCTAGCCAGGCGGCTGGGATCCGGGCGGCAGGACACAGCCTGTTCTTCTTACTACGATATATTTAATACATCAACCAGCTTTCTATACAGGGGCACCAAAAGGTTTTAACTGAGAGATTAGAGAGAGGTAGGAAGCATGGCTCCATTACTCTAGCCCCCTTATGCCTAACCCAATACTGATACACAAACGTTTGTTAGATAAGAGGGTAGAAAGGGATGACTTTTTTCTAACCACTTCCAAATTCAGTTTCAATTTGAACTGTCAAAGAACCTATTTTGGATATTCAAATATTTCCTCTGATGAATGAAGTACATTCCAGGGTTTTATGCAAATTGGTCGTTTAAAGTTTCCTTCTAGGAGCATCCTAAGCCCCACCCAACAGGAACAAATACCCTCACGCGCAAGGCTCACCTGCCATGTCAATAGCAAAAGGCCTGTCTTCTCTCCAGCCGGTGTACCAGCCAACAACTTTGCCGTTTTTCACCAGTGGACGTTCATAGCGTCGCCCGCCAACTAGGCCCACAGGCCAGACGGAAACCTTGCGGGTGGTCCTCATCTACAAAAGGGGAAAAAGATGCGCATAAGCTTTGTTAATGCGTAATGATCTACACGGCAGGAATGAAGTGACGATGGCTTCAAAATTTTAAGGTTTCCAAACAGAATCTTCTATCCCAGTTCCTTGTCATTTGGGCCCAAGGCTTAAGAGAAATAAACTTGCTGGGTATAGTGGTACATGCCTTTAGTCCCAGCACTTGGGAGGCAGAGACTGCTGCATCTCTCTTGAGTTCAAGCCCAGGCAGAGCTACATAGACCCTGTCTCAAAAGAGAAAAAGAAACTATAAATGAGGTACCAGTCCACAAATATTACTTATTTGAAGTCTACCTGTGATAATTAAATGCTTTCCAATGTCTGAAAATTGAATCTTTTAAGAAATAACTTCCTGTCTTCTAAAACGAGCCACTTTATTCCCAGGAAACTTTATGACTCAGTAAGCAATGTCACTCAGAATGGCTTTCTTTATAAGAGTTCCAGGGCAATACAGAGAGACCCTGCCAAAAAGAAAAAAAAGTTACAGAGCAAAAAACATGTTAAAACCTGCAACAGAAAAAAAATGCCAGCTCACCTACAGAGGCAACTTTATCTTGATTTATCTTGATAACAATATAGACCTCTTGGCAGAAACCCTAACTACCCCAGAAGCATGCTCAAGCCTTGAAAGACGACATTCCTGACAACGATGATTATTATACCCAGAAAAATTGTCTTTTAAAAGTGATGGGGAAATAAAGGCCTGCTAAGACAAGCAGAAATAAAAAAATAAAAAATAAATAAAACTAAGGTGTCAACACATTGCAGAATAAACTTAGAGAAATTATGCACAGAGGGGAAGAAGATCTTAATAAGAGCTCGGGGTAGAACAAATTTCAAAAGAACAAGAGAAACAAATAAATGCTTTGAACAAATTAATTATTTCAACAGATCAGAAAAACGTTATGATGGATATTGGAAAATGAACAAACTCTATTTGAACCAATTAAAAAGACCACTAATACAAGAATCAGCAAGTTCTGCTCAATAACAGCCTACTGTAAATACATTTAACTTTTCCTCTTAAAAGATGAAGATTAGCTGGTTGATTAAAAAAACAAAAAACAAAAAAAGCAAGAGGTGACTCATAGGTAATTATGAACTGAAAGCAAAATGTTGGAAAATTATATTCCAGACAAATGAAAACTGAAAACAAAGCATACTCAGGTCTAATAGAGTAGGCTTGAAGAAAAAGTTTCTCAGAAAAGAGAAAGAAGGTTATAAAAGTTATAAAAGATATAAGTACTATAAATATATGGACCAAATGTTGACACATTCAATTTTGCAATACAAGTACTATTGCACATAACGGGCAGATGAGTCCAGATGTTTATAATAACTGTCTCCAGATAGGTCATTCAGAAAACAACCAACTTTGGGGTTAATTGCACCATACATCAAATGGATCAAATCAGGGACATCTACTGGAAATTCTCTCAGAGTGCCAACCATAGCTTCTTTCTCAGCATCCATGAGACTTTCTCTAAAAGAGAATGCAGTTTAGGCTATAACACAATCTTAGTGACTTTATCATTTCTGTAACAAGAGATACTGACAAAAGTGCCATAAGAGAGGAAGGGCTCGCTTGTATTTTGGCTTACAGTTCCAGGCAGTTAGAGGCCATCATGACACAAAGAATAAATGGCATCAGGGAAGGAAGGCATGGTGGTAGGAGCAGGAAGTGTGTCCCATTTAGGTCACATTGTGTCCACACTTGGAAAGCAGGGGAAATGAGGAAGTAAGGCAGGGTCACAAGACCTCAAGGCAATTCCCAGTAAGTCACCCCAGGTTTCACCTCTTAAATATTATAAAATCTTCCCCAAAGTGCCACCATTTAGGGACCAAGTGGTCACACACATGAGCCTATTGGGGGCATTTTACATGTAAACTGTAAAAGTCAGTCTTAAATTCACAAGAATTAAACTCATGTCTTTTGTATTATCAGATAGTAATGGATAAAACTAGAAATAAATGGCAAGAGAAACTATAACAATGTGTGGAGTTTAAACAATATACTCTTGAATGATCATTGAGAAATCAGGGAGACAATCAAACCTTCTTAGAATGAAATTAAAATGAAAACACAGCCAATTACAACCTTTGGGATAAAGCAGAGAGGTTTCTAAGAAGAAAGTTTGCAACTCCGAATGTCTACATAACAAACAGCAGCCACACGGACGGATAACTGAATGAGTCACCTGACACTGTAGCAAAACAGGAGAAACCAAACAGCAAATGAGTAAATGGGAGAAATAATCAATATCAGGGTAGATATTAAGGGAGACAGAGAGGGCAACATAAAGAATCGATGCAACAAAGAGTTGGTTCTCTGAAAACATGAATACAAATGTCAAACTTCATCAAAGGGGAAGACCCAAATGAGTACAGACTTTGAAAGGAAACATTAGAATCGTCACCAATGAAACCTAGAGGATCATTAGGGAACACTTCGAAAAACATATTCCAAAAACATGGAAAAACTAAGAGGAACAGATAAGTTCCTACTCCTATATGATTTATCAAAACTGAATCAAGAGGATGTAAACAACTCAGGCGGCTATGTAATGAGCAATGGGATTGAGAGAGTAATAGCTTCCCAAGAAAGCCAAGCAATGGTCAGGCTGATTCATTACTCATCCGACCAGACCTCTGACAAGCTCCCACGCCTCTTCATGATAATATTCCAGAAGGAAAAGAAGGAAAATGCTTTAATGTGGTAAATTAAAACCTTACTGCAGCATTATACTAAATAAGGAAAAACTCTGGGTATTTCCTCTAAAATCAGGGCTGAGACACAGGTATCTACCTTCTCCCCTTTGGTCAATACATGGATTATTGCTCTGACTTTAGACCAGTGAGGCAGTGGAAAGAGGTGAAATAGGAAACTAGGAAAGGGAGGACTCAGTATTCCAATTTGGAGAAGGCATGGCCTTACACTTAAAAGATACCAAAGGCTTCTCTAGGAACATCTTAGCTTAAGAATTTTAATACTTTTAGCTAAGTACCAAGACACAAAATTCTACCAAGACACACAAAAAAATGTTCTAGTTAGGGTTACTATTGCTGTGATGAGACACCATGACCAAAAACAGTTGGGGAGAGAAGGGTTTATTTGGCTTATATTTTCACATCCCCTCCTGAAGGAAGTCAGGGCAGGACCTGGAGGCGAGAGCAGATGCAAAGGCCACAGAGGGGTGCAGATTACCGGCCTGTGCCTGTCCTCTTGTGGAACCCAGGACCACCAGCCCAGAGACGGCTCTACTCACAAAGAGGAGGGCCCTTCCCCACCAATCACTGAGAAAATGTCCTATAGCAGTGTTCTCAACCTTTCTAATGTTGTAACTCTTTAAGACAGTCCCTCATGGTGTGGTGACCCCCAACCATAAAATTATTTCATTTCTACTTCATAATGTAAATATCTGTGTTTTCTGATGCTCTTAGGTGACTCCCATGAAAGGGGTCACAACCTTCAGGTCTTGCCTACAGCCTAATCTTATGCAGGTATTTTCTTATTGAGGTTCCCTCCTATCAGATGACTTTAGATCGTATCAAGTTGACATAAAATTATCCAGGCACAACTTGTCCACTTGATCCACAAACACACAACTGTTATTGTTAGCATCCAGGCACACCTGACCTCGCCCTTGGGGACCTGGCAGACCTTGGCCTGGTCCTATGGCATGACAGGCAATACCCTGGCCTACTACGTGTTCTTGCCCCTCCCTTTAAAATGAGAAGCTCCACCTACTCCTTTCTCTTCTTCCTCTTCCCCTCCCTGCATTTCTCTGTCTCTGTTTTTCTCTCTCCCTCCCTCCTTTTCTCTCTCTCTTTCTCTTCCCACAAGGTCTCCCTGTACTCCCTTTCTCTCTCCTCTCTCCCTCTCCTTCCCCCAACAAAACTCCCCTTGTAAACGTGTGTTTGTCCCCCACCCTCCATCATTTGTACCCACCTGCCAAGGTCCAGGCTCATGCCAGATCATAACAGTTACGCCACAAGCTTTCCTTTCTCAACCACCTTGAGATCTCATATTAAAAACAAAAGTAACTTTAAAAGTCTCACAGTCTTACAAATTCAAAAACTTAAAAAAGTTCAGTCCCGTTATAATATCTAGTCTCTTTAAAAATGCATAGTCTCTTTTAAAAGTTCAAAATCTCTCAACTGTGGTCTTCTGAAAAAGTCAAAATGAAGTTAAATACCTTCTCACTTCGAGAGGGAGGAGCCAGGGCACAGCCACAGTCAGATTAAAGCAAAACCAAACTCTCAAAATTCAATGTCTGGGATCCACTCACGATCATCTGGGCTCTGCCAAAGAGCCTGGGTCACCCCTCCAACTCCATCCTCTACAGCATACACAGTTTGTCTTCGAGGTTCTGGCTGGTTCCACCGTCTACTTCTGCTGTTCTTGTCCCATGGTACCAGATCTCCAGAACCCTGGGGTCTCTGCTGCGTCTGGCCTGCACTTTTACCAGCAGCCTCTCCTGGGCTCTTCAGGGACTCCATCCCTGCCACCCAGTGCCAAGCCTCTGCCGCTCTCCAGGACCCCTTCATGCCTTCAAAACCAGTATCACCTGGTGACTCTTCCACAACTACGTTCAGCTGTCAGGTACAACCTTGGCCATGTCTGGAACACAGCCTTTGTGTACTGACTTTCAAGGAGATTTCACCTCAACAGTGATGGTCTCTTTTTAATCAGTGCTAATTTCTCAGTTCCATTCAACCAGCATGACGTAGTACAGCAGAGCAAAGATTTCACTTTTAGCAGTTCTGGTATCCTGTTAATCACAGCTGATTCTTCTGCCTCAGCTAATCAAAACCATGGGATCTTAATTCAAAATAACAAATGACCCCAGAAGAGTCTTTATACTTCCCTCTGAAACTTCACAAGCCAGGCCTTTATCCTTTGCACTGTCTTTAACAATCCTATTTTCCAAACTCCTACGGAACAGTCCACGAAGCTCTCAGCACAC